TTGTATCATTCAAATAACCTTTAATTTGTTATTGGATGTAAGAAATATGTACCTATTTGCTGTTTTTGTGAAAATAATAAAACATTTGAATAACTTTTTCAGCTTTTCTTTAGCCAAACAATTTTTTTATTGAGCTGTTTTTAGCTTCTTTTTTGTCCATTAGCTGAATTGCTGAAGCAATTCGGGCAATACTTGATATTAGTCATTGAAGAATATTCACGCATATTTATGCACTAACACTCTTTTACGCAGGGCACACAAAGCGAGCCCAGCCAGCAAAGAAACGTAAATTTTGCTGACAGTGCAGTTTAGTTCAAATTTCCGTATCCGAAAACGCATAGAAAAAACTCCTACAGTTATCATCAATTTTCGTATCTGAAAAAAGTCCGAAACGTTCGAAAAAGGTGCTGTTATTTGAAAGCAAAATTGTATTTTATTTGCTGAAGATAAACATTTGAAAGTATGCATGCGTAGACGGCAGTGGATGAGCGTGCAGAGTGTGCCGCTATTTGTTAGCTTCCAGAAGGTGCCGGGTTCGAATTCCGTAAGGCGCTTCCTAATTTTATTTTATTTCTTTTGAACCATGAAAAAGGAAAACGTATTGAACGAAAATTTCAATCAGACAATTTTCAGAAAAAACATCCGAAAACGTGCCCTTTTCACCACCATTTTCGGTACTTTTCTGTACATACGTTTCTGCCGAACACTTTACTGGGAAAACAGATCGTCAAAGTATCCGGAAATGGAATCAGTAAACGGACAAAAATCCGCACTTCATCAATTTTTTTGTCCTTTTTCGGATCGGTTTTCGGATTTTTTGCTGGCTGGTAGAGTATGTAAAATGACTAAGTTCTCTATTGGTATCAGGGATGCCAACTCTGTTAAGGCCAAATTCCTGAAAGAATTCCCCTATTTTCAATGGTATTCCCGCAAATTAACATTTACGTTTAAGGCACTTCACTCTCATTTCTGAATATATTTCGTAAATCATATCTATCATACATGGTGGGCCAAATAAGACCTACCAATTTTAAACACGTATAACTCTTGTAATATTCATTTGTTTTAATAAATTTATTTATTTTTTTATTAGATACATTTCGTGGAAATTAAGAGGCACTATGTATGAAAAATGACATCAGACATATGAGCACCATTTTGTTCGATGCAGACATTGGCCTTTTTTAACGCGTTTTCCATAACACCACGTAGTGTTTCTGGTTGCAGGCTCCGTATCTCGTCTCGAATATTCTGCTTCAGCTGCTTCATAGTCTATGATTTATTAACATATATACATACGTTTTTTTTTTTTCTGGTGAGCGAGGCGGCAAAGGGAAATCTGAATTTTTTGAAATCAAACGTTCGCCGAAAATTTCAGGCAGCAGGTACATATTTTGCCTAGAAGTGTGCGCAGGCGCTCCATCTGGTTGGAACCACAAATTAGGATGCTGTACTGCCATTGGCCGCAAACATTTGTCAATCATTGTTCTGTAAGAAACCCCAAAAATCGTTTCTGCCGTTTCATCCTCATCTTGAAGAAATATGGGCCGATAACTTTTTCGGCCATAACACCGCACCAAACAGCGCATCTAGATGGATGTTACTAGTGCTGGTGTGTTGCCCTTGAATTTTCAGAGCTCAAAAATCTACAGTTTTGCTTGTTGATATAACCATTTAAATGGAAATGCACTTCATCCGACATCAAAACATTACCTAAAAAAATCAATTTTTGTGGCTAATTGTGTAAAACGAATAGCGTATTGTAGTCGTTGATGGTGGTCTTGTGGTGCATAATTTAAATTTTTTATGGGTTCATCTTATAATCCAACTATAAAATTCTCCGCAACGTTGTTCTGGAAATGCCTTATTGGCCGGAACAACGGCGAGTTGAGACAGGTGGATCTTTGCAACACTCTGCCGCACAGCTTTCACGTTGTCTTCAGTGCGAATATTTCGATTAGCACCTCTTCCTGAACGGTAGCTCACTGAACCCCGTTCTTCAAAACGGTCAACTAAGGCTGTAGGCTAATCTTGAATTAAAATATTGGCGATACTTTCGCTGCGTCATTACAATTGATGGTTGACATGAATAGAAAAATTCGATAATTTTAATGCGATGTTGTGCACTGTAAGTATCCATTATGATCTTTCAAGAGATTAACTATAACATGCAGAAAGAAAATAACAACAATATTAAAATATAAAGAAGTTATACGTGTTTAGCATTGGGAAGTCTGTCCCTGTATATCGGGCATTCCTTGGAATCATATATGTAGGTATGTATTTCTTGATGAAATTTTTGTAATTTTCTATAAGTTTATTTTTAATTTGTCGGATTGTAAGTAAAATTGACTCAAATATACATATCTATGCTAAGCCTATTTCTGATTGCAGTTTTTATACCCGAGCGCACTTGTGCACAAGGGTATATTAATTTTGTTCACATAACGGTTGTTTGTAACAGGCAAAACGAATCGAGATAGATATAGACAAATGTATACATAAATGCTCAGAATGAATAGAGAAGTCGATTAAGCCATGTCTGTCTGTC